TTTAATATTGTATTGAACATGTCGTAGCCATTTTGGCTCTTGGCTCAAATATCTTTGTGCATTTGCGACGAACTGTTGTTGGAGAGGCTTTGCGGCCGGTGCCGCCGACCCTGAACGACGACGACGACGAGCGCTCTCGGGAGCCTCTCGGGGGTAGTTCGGCGGCCTCTTGGGAGGCTCTTGGGGGCTCTTGGGAGCCTCGTTGGGGCTTCCTGGGCGCCCTTCTGGCGGAGGGCTGGATATGTTCGTTCGGGTCCCACGTATGGGCTCCCTCTTGGAGCCGTCCTCGGGGCCTCCTGGGCCGTCTTCGGGGCCTCTTGGGTCCTCGTGGGGCCGTCTTGGGTTGTCTTGGGGCGATCTTGGGGGCCTCTTGGGCTGTCTTGGAGCGCCAGAAATTGTCCAAGGAGGGCGTTTCCTTCCCCGGCATTGCACCCTCAGGGTCAGCCGGTCTCACCGTTATCCTTTCCTGCTTGCACCCTCCGGGTCAGCCCTCGTCCTCGGTCTTTTCCTGCCCCGGCATTGCACCCTCAGGGTCAGCCGGCCCCCCCGTTCGCCTCTCCTCCTCTCCGCCGGGCAGTGCACCCTCAGGGTCAGCTCATGTCCACCCTCTCTTAATATTGTATTGAACATGTCGTAGCCACTTTGGCTCTTGGCTCAAATATCTTTGTGCATTTGCGACGAACAGTTGTTCGAGAGGCCTTGCGGCCGGTGCCGCCGACCCTGAACGACGACGACGACGAGCGCTCTCGGGAGCCTCTCGGGGGTAGTTCGGCGGCCTCTTGGGAGGTTCTTGGGGTCTCTTGGGAGCCTCGTTGGGGCTTCCTGGTCGCCCTTCTGGCGGAGAGCTGGATATGTTCGTTCGGGTCCCACGTATGGGCTCCCGCTTGGTGCCGTCCTCGGGGCCTCCTGGGCCGTCTTGGGAGCCTCTTGGGTCGTCGTGGGGCCGTCTTGGGTTGTCTCGGGGCGATCTTGGGGGTTCCTTGGGCTGTGTTGGAGCGCCAGAAATTGTTCACGGAGGGCGCTGTGCAGGCGCTTGCGGCAGATCCGAGCTTGCCTCTTTGCTCCGCGCCCCGCCGTGCTCCCGTTCGCCTTTTCCTTCTCTCCGCTGGGCAGTGCACCCCCAGGGTCAGCCCCCGCCCCCGCACGTTTCCTTCCCCGGCATTACACACCTTCAGGGTCATCCGGTCTCACCGTTATCCTTTCCTGCTCGCCGCCGGGCATTGCACCCTCCGGGTCAGCCCTCGTTCTCGGTCTTGTCTTGTCCCAGCATTGCACCCTCAGGGTCAGCCGGCTCCCCCGTTCGCCTCTCCTCCCTTCCGCCGGGCAGTGCACCCTCAGGGTCAGCAGGAGGAGGGCCCGCAGCAGCCCAAGAAAACACCCAAGAGGACGCCGAGTTTTCAAGAGCGGCTGGCATTAATCTCCAGGATTCCTTGCGTTTCATGCGACATAACGAGATGCGCGAAAACTCTCCAAAAGTAGCTTTTTCTCGATCATTCACTTTTTCGTGTCGGAGAGCTTCTGCTCTGGATATGGATTTCGTCATGTATTTTGCACGATTGTTTCGTGTCGGAGATGCTGAAAACTGCTCTGGCGGATATTGGATTTCGTCATGTATTTTGCACGATTGTGGCTGTACGCATTGAAAACTGGAGCGGCCGGTTGTTTGGTTGGCTCCCGCATCGGGGATAGACATACACGGCGACAGCTCCTTAGGAATTCCACCCCAAGGCGGCCCCCAAGAGGTCCTTCCAGGGTGCTGGGGCGTATTGCAATCGTCGCTTGCTTTAATATTGTATTGAACATGTCGTAGCCATTTTGGCTCTTGGCTCAAATATCTTTGCGCATTTGCGACGAACTGTTGTTGGAGAGGCCTTGCGGCCGGTGCCGCCGACCCTGAACGACGACGACGACGAGCGCTCTCGGGAGCTCTCGGGGGTAGTTCGGCGGCCTCTTGGGAGGCTCTCGGGGTCTCTTCGGAGCCTCGTTGGGGCTTCCTGGGCGCCCTTCTGGCGGAGGGCTGGATATGTTTGTTCGGGTCCCACGTATGGGCTCCCTCTTGGAGCCGTCCTCGGGGTCCCTGGGCCGTCTTGGGGGCCTCTTGGGTCCTCGTGGGGCCGTCTTGGGTCGTCTTGGGGCGATCTTGGGGGTTCCTTGGGCTGTGTTGGAGCGCCAGAAATTGTTCACGGAGGGCGTTTCCTTCCCCGGCATTGCACCCTCAGGGTCAGCCGGTCTCACCGTTATCTTTTCCTGCTCGCCGCCGGGCATTGCACCCTCGGGGTCAGCCCTCGTCCTCGGTCTTTTCCTGCCCCGGCATTGCAACCTCAGGGTCAGCCGGCCCCCCGTTCGCCTCTCCTCCTCTCCGCCGGGCAGTGCACCCTCAGGGTCAGCTCATGTCCACCCTCTCTTAATATTGTATTGAACATGTCGTAGCCACTTTGGCTCTTGGCTCAAATATCTTTGTGCATTTGCGACGAACAGTTGTTCGAGAGGCCTTGCGGCCGGTGCCGCCGACCCTGAACGACGACGACGACGAGCGCTCTCGGGAGCCTCTCGGGGGTAGTTCGGCGGCCTCTTGGGAGGTTCTTGGCTCAAAAATCTGCGGCCGGTGCCGCCGACCCTGAACGAACCCGACGCCTTCGGGTCCTTCGTATGGGCTCCCTCTTGGAGCCGTCCTCGGGGCCTCCTGGGCCGTCTTGGGGGCCTCTTGGGTCGTCGTGGGGCCGTCTTGGGTCGTCTTGGGGCGATCTTGGGGGCCTCTTGAGTTCTCTTGTCTTGCCTTCTCGCCGCCGGGCATTGCACCCTCCGGGTCAGCCCTCGTTCTCGGTCTTTTCTTGTCCCAGCATTGCACCCTCAGGGTCAGCCGGCTCCCCCGTTCGCCTTTCCTCCCTTCCGCCGGGCAGTGCACCCTCAGGGTCAGCCCATGTCCACCCTCTCTTAATATTGTATTGAACATGTCGTAGCCATTTTGGCGCAATGCTGGCGCGGAAGCGCCCTGCGGCGTCCGACTTCGCCGCTTCCCGTTACGCTGCGGATGTTTGGGGCCTCGCGGGAGGCAGGGGCAAGCGCGGCCGCAGGAAGAGGACGGCCGCCGCGGACGAAGGGCCGCAGGTGGAATGTAGAGATTACTCCAACTGCAACCAGCGCAACGAGGACGCGTGTAAGGACCTGCTGATTTCTCTGGCCACGGATGACTTGCGAGGGCGCCTGACGCGCAGCCGCTACGACCTGGAGAGTGCCCGGCGCTCGGAACGGCTGAGACAGATCGAGGCGGGGATAGCGCTCGCTGACGACTGGTTGGAGGAGGCGGCGAGTGCCTTCAACGTCCCTACCCGCAAGAGGAAGCAAATGCAGGTCGTGGAAGACGTCCTGGAGGCCGTGCGACAGACCCGACAGCGGGCCCCGGGCACGGCGACCGCCATGGACGCCGATCGCAGGGAGGCGACGCAGAGGGATATCCAGAGGCCGCAAGGTGTAGACGCGCTGAGGGATGAGCTGCTAGTCAGATCTAGTTCGGAGGATCTGCGCCTGCGCGTGGTGGGCGAGTGCCTCCAGCGGCGCGGAGGCTGGCCCGCCGAGGCAGCAGATCTCGGCGGCGACGCCCCGGGGCCGTCTGGCGATTACACCCCCAGGGTCAGCCGGGCGGCTTCGCCGGGCGCCATGCTGGCGCGGAAGCGCTCTGCGGCGTCCGACTTCGCCGCTTCCCGCTACGCTGCTGATTTTTGGGGCCTCGCGGGAGGCAGGGGCAAGCGCGGCCGCACGAAGAGGACGGCCGCCGCGGACGAAGGGCCGCAGGTGGAATGTAGAGATTACTTCTACTGCAACCAGCGCAACGAGGACGCGTGTAAGGACCTGCTGATTTCTCTGGCCACGGATGACTTGCGAGGGCGCCTGACGCGCAGCCGCTACGACCTGGAGAGTGCCCGGCGCTCGGAACGGCTGAGACAGATCGAGGCGGGGATAGCCCTCGATGACGACTGGTTGGGGGAGGCGGCGAGTGTCTTCAACGTCCCTACCCGCAAGAGGAAGCAAATGCAGGTCGTGGAAGACGTCCTGGAGGCCGTGCGACAGACCCGACAGCGGGCTCCGGGCACGGCGACCGCCATGGACGCCGATCGCAAGGAGGCGACGCAGAGGGATATCCAGAGGCCGCAAGGTGTCGACGCGCTGAGGGATGAGCTGCTAGTCAGATCTAGTTCGGAGGATCTGCGCCTGCGCGTGGTGGGCGAGTGCCTCCAGCGGCGCGGAGGCTGGCCCGCCGAGGCAGCAGACCTCGGCGGCGACGCCCCGGGGCCGTCTGGCGATTACACTCCCAGGGTCAGCCGGGCGGCTTCGCCGGGCGCCATGCTGGCGCGGGAAGCGCCCTGCGGCGTCCGACTTCGCCGCTTCCCGCTACGCTGCTGATTTTTGGGGCCTCGCGGGAGTCAGGGGCAAGCGCGGCCGCACGAAGAGTACGGCCGCCGCGGACGAAGGGCCGCAGGTGGAATGTAGAGACTACTTCTACTGCAACCAGCGCAACGAGGACGCGTGTAAGGACCTGCTGATTTCTCTGGCCACGGATGACTTGCGATGGCGCCTGACGCGCAGTCGCTACGACCTGGAGAGTGCCCGGCGCTCGGAACGGCTGAGACAGATCGAGGCGGGGATAGCGCTCGATGACGACTGGTTGGGGGAGGCGGCGAGTGTCTTCAACGTCCCTACCCGCAAGAGGAAGCAAATGCAGGTCGTGGAAGACGTCCTGGAGGCCGTGCGACTGACCCGACAGCGGGCCCCGGGCACGGCGACCGCCATGGACGCCGATCGCAGGGAGGCGATGCGCAGGCGCACGTGGAGCTCCATGGCCGCGTTGCACGAGGCGAAGGTCTGGGGTATGCGCGCGACGCAGAGGGATATCCAGAGGCAGCAAGGTGTCGACGCGCTGCGGGATGAGCTGCTAGTCAGATCTTGTCCGGAGGATCTGCGCCTGCGCGTGGTGGGCGAGTGCCTCCAGCGGCGCGGAGGCTGGCCCGCCGAGGCAGCAGACCTCGGCGGCGACGACCTCTGGGCGCGCCGCTATTTGCACAGCGCGATGGCCCGAAGGTACGCCAGCGCCTCCACTGGCGAGCAGCTCTTGCCGGGCGACGTGGCGCGGTGGCAGGAGCTGCTCGACAGGATCCCGGAGGCGCAGCGGCCCACCTGGCAGGCGGACCCTCTGCGCCAGCAGTTGCAGGCCCACTACGAGGAGCATGGCCACCTGAACGTGAGGCCCTCGACCAGGAGGGCCGACGATCCCGATCGCCTTCTACTCGAAGCTTTGAAGGTCCTGCGCCGCGCACGGCTGGAGGATGTCAGGGGCGAGCGCGGCCATCTGCTGCGCCGGCAGCTCTCGCCCGGGGACCTGGCCGCGTGGGAGACGGCGGTCCCGGCCAACGTGTTGTGGGGCACGGTGCGCCAGGCCGAGGCGTATATCCCTGGCAGCGCTATTCTCGGCAGCCGGTGCGAATGGCCCAGAGAGCCCGTCTGCTGCCAGCCGTGCCCGTGCTATCTTTGCGGCCAGGACTTCGCCACGAAGCAGTTGTTGCAGGAGCACTGGCGCGAGGAGCACGTGAACCTGCCCGAGGCCGAGCGGGGCTTGCTGGCGCCGCGGCGAGTGGAGGAAGAGGTCCGAAAGAGAATCCTTGCGGACGAACAGCTGGAGGGCCCCTTCGAGGTCCGGGGCGCTGAGCAGCGCCGCGCGCTCGGACGATTCGCGGAGAACCAGACGCAGAGCCGACCGGGGGGTGCGTGGGCCGGGCACTTCGAGAGCCAGCAGACCGCCCCGACCACTTGCCGCGCCCTGAGCGGCTGCGTTGTCTGCGCGCGCTCTTTCTGGCTGGAGGACCTCTTCGACGCGGACTTGTTCGTGGAGCTCGTGGACCCCGAGCTGGCAGCGGGCGCCGGCGATCCCGCGGCGGACGGCGCCCAGGGGCACGGCGCGGAAGGCGTGCCGGCGGACGCGCCTGCGCGTCACCCCCGGGGGCACCTGGAGCCGCCGCCCGCCGAGGACGCGGCCCCGCCGCGCCGGGCTCGCTTCGCGGTGCAGCCCGAGGCCGCCGCGAAAGTCCACGCGCTCCTCTCCGTGGAGCGCTATGCCGCGAGGTGGCCGCTGATCCCGCGGCACGAGCTGTGGGCCTCCAGCGTGCCGCACCCGCGCAGGCCCGAGTGGCGGTGGCTGCTGCACGTTCGCAGGTTGCCCTGCCTTAGCCTCGACGAGCACGGGCGGGCCCCGCTGGTGAAAGTGTGTTTCGATTGCGGCAAGACCTTGGAGGGCGCGCCGGCAGTGAAAATGCCAATGTACGCCCTGGCGAACGACAACTGGATCGGCCGAGTCCCTTTTCCTCTCCGGCCTGGCGGCGAGCCGTTGCGGGACATGGAGCTGCGATCGCTAGCCAGGGGCCGCGTGTGCGTGAACAAGATCATCGCCGAGCCCGAGAAGAGAGGCCTCGAGACGAACGGCAGGGGGGGCTCGTTGGGAACTTTATCTGTTTCCCGCAGGCGAAGGTTTGGGGCGGTCTCCAGCTGCGCTGCTGGGGGCGCGCGCCAGCACGTCGTCGGAACTCCGTCGGAACCTCCCCCGGATGTTTCAGGGGCGCGGGGAGAGGTTCCGGGGGGATGTTTCAGGGGCGCGTGCGGGGGATGTCCGGGGGATGTTTCAGGGGCGCGGGGAGATCAGAGTCCGGGGCAGGTTCCGACGAGCCGGTCAGATGTTGGATTCCAGGGGAGGGCGATTTCTGCCGTTGCTGGCGCGCGTGGCCCAGGCGGCGCGCCTGGAGACGTCTCGCAAGGTGGATCTCCTGCGCAGCGCCGAGCTGCCCGCCCCCCCTGCCGAGGCGCAGCGATTCCTCGCTGAGTCCGTCGTCATTGCCCTGGCAGGGGCCGACGTGGACGACCTCAGCAAGGCCCGGTGGGCCAACGTGCGCAAGGGCGAATACATGGGGGCCGCCAGCTTCCTGACCTCCCATTCGGTCTCGTACAACGACATGACCTGCAACCAGGACAGGGCAGACGCCGTCATGAGCGACGCCGGCGCCGTCCCCGAAGCCGTGCGAAGCATCGCAATCCCCATTGAGGTCTCCGAGCAGCTGAAGCACCGGCTGGAGGGCCCCGCCGACGCCTGCGCCGGGGCCGACGAGCAAGTCGTCAGGGTGGACGGGGAGGAGTGCGTGTCCGAGCACGAGGCAGAGGAAGAGGAGGGGGAGAACGATCTCAACGCCGCGCTGCCCGACCCGGACTTCCCCGCCGAGGCGCTCCCGGCGATGTCTTTCTGCGCCGATGCCGCGACCGGCGGCGACCTCGACGAGCTCCAGGCGATCCGCAAGGTGCACGGTGAGCTCGAGGCTCTGCAGGATTCCATGCGCGAGGAGGCCTCCGGCATGGGCTACCCGCGCCGGCGCCTCATCAAGCAGCTTCAGGTCAGCGCCAGAGGCATGCTGGATCGCGGCTTGGCGGACAGGATCCACCACCACCACAAGACGGTGACGGCCCTGGAGGAGACGGGCCAACGGGCGGCGGCTCCCGGAGGCGCGATGGAAGGGTATGCCCAGGGCACTGCCACACAGCCGCTCTCGATGTACAGCCCCGAGCTCTGGTCCATGTGCTTCCCCGACAAGTTCCCGTACGGCGACGGCGTGTTCGGCTTGTCCAGGACTGCGCCCATGTCGTTCCATCAGTGCACGTCAATGCACTTGCTCCGCGAGGAGCTGGTGTACCAGGTCACGCCCGAAGATTTGGCCGCGGCCGCCGCTTGCAAGGCGTGGGTCGAGACCGCCGCGGACGGGCCCGGCGCGACCGGGCAGTCTCGCCCCTCCGGCGGCTCCTGCGCCTGCCAGCAGTGCAGAGAGGCGTGCCGGCGCTACGTCGCGCCCGAGCAGCCGCGCTGGGGGGCCGACCGCGATCTCATTTGCTGCTACTACGACGCCGGGCGCCGCATCGAGCAGATCCGCAGGGCCAGGGGCCACGTGCACAGAACGGGCTTCCAGGAGCGCCTTGAGAAGATCTGCGCGGCTTCCACGGAGAAGCTCGATGCCGCCGTGCAGAGCCTAGGGCCGAATGCGTCCCTGAAGGACGCGATGCGGTCCCCCGCCGTGGACCAGGACGTCAAAGACGCGCTCTCCGAGCTCATGGTGTTCACCTCAGAAGTTCTCGGCTCGGACGGCGCGCGCGCGAAATTGCGCCACGAGCAGAACGGCTTCGCCCTCATGTTCGGCGGCGCCGGTGGCTTTCTGACTCCGAACGTCGCGGACGTGCGGAGCCCCATCTTGCTTGCCCTGCACGCGGCGGGGGGCTGCGAGACCCGCGCCGTGGACCTCCTCGCGGAAGCCCCGGACATGCCCTCCGCGCGGAAGATGCTCCAGATCGTGGCGCAGGACCCGGTGGCCCAGGCCCGCTTCTTCATCTTTAGCATGCAGCTTTTCTGCGAGCACGTGCTGGGCACCGGCCCCTGGGACGCCCGACTGCGCCACAACGGCCGTTGCGACGGGGCGGCTTTCCCCGATGGCTTCGCCACTTCGTGCACCGGCGGAGCCTTCCTCATGTTGGCGGCGCTGCACGGGCCCATCGAGGAGCAGGCCCGGCTGTCCATCCACCCGCACATCCTCCTGTGGTTCGTGCACGCGCAGTCCGAGCAGTGGCTCCGGTGCGTGCTCAACAGGGAGACCGAGGAGATCCGGCAGCGGCTCCGCGTGTGGCAGGAGAAGACCTTGGCCGCAGTGCAGTCCATGCAGCTGGACTCAGCGGCCGTGCTCCCGCTGCTCCTCACCGACGACCCCGACCGGGCGCCCGAGCCCAGGAACACGCCCTTCTCCGAGAAACTGCAGCGGGATTGCCGCATGGATGGGGAGCTGGAGCACGACGTGGAAGAGCCGGAGAAACGGCGCGTCTTCTTGGCCACAGAGCCCCCGTTCGAGGACCACCACCTCCGACGGCATCGGATGTCCTTGGCGCCCGAGGCGCGACCCATGAGCGAATACATGGTGCCCCAGACGGGCGCCCAGCTCTGTCGCCTCGAGCACTACAGGCTGCTGCGCCCGACCACGGGCGACGACCTGGAGACCGCGGCGGGCCGGAGCGCGGAGGCGGCGGCCTGGGCCGCGCGCTACGCCGAGGATTACCGCCAGGACATCGCCGTGGGCCAGATGCACCAGCACAAGGACACGTGCTTCAAGTACGTTGTCGAGAAGTCCATGCGCTTCGCGCGGCACTGCCGCTTCAACTTCTGCCACTTCGTCAAGCTCTGGCTCCGCGTCGGCGACGGCGGGGACTCCTCGGCGCAGCAGAAGCGCTCCAAGAAGCTGGTGACCTTGGCGCGGACCGGCAAAGACCTCGTGCTGCCGCGGGGGCCAGGGGAACCGGAGCCCGACATGTTCCCCCTGGACGAGGACGGCGCGCCCGTGCCCCTGCGCCCCGGGCGCAAACTCGGCCCGGTCGTCAACGTCGATCCAGACCATGGGAAGCAGGGTCTGGTCATGCCCATTCGCTGGAACCCGATGGAAGGCAGCTCCAACGGCGTGGCCCAGACGGCGCTGAACTGCAACGTGGACTTCCAGAGTATGATGCGCACTTTCATTGACGGATTTAATGTCCAGACGCGGGACGGGCTGCGCGACCCGCCCCTCTCGGCGGACGACGAGGCCTCGCTCGAGGCGGAGGAGGACGAGAAGTTCGAGGCAAGCTTCGCCGCGAACATGCAGAAGCTTGCGGCCGCCCGCAAGAGGGCCAACAAACCAGAGCTGGAATATGAGGAGGCGGAGATGAGGCTCCGGCAACAGCGAGCCGCTCGCAGGGCGGCGTATCTGAGGTTGGGCCCGGCCGAGCGCTTCAGGCGCAGTATCAAAGCACTGACCGTCAACATTATGAGGCAGTCCGTTCAGGCCATGTTCTACGCTTGCGACTACTCCACGAAGCCGAACATGACCTGCGCGCCGCTCCTGGTCGCGGTTCGCGACGGCATTCGGCGCCTGGAGGAGCGGCTCCGCACCGAGGAAGAGGCGGCGGCAGCGGCGGAGGCGGAGGGGGCAGCGCCGGTGCCGAAGCCGTCGGCGAGGGGGCCCGCGCTGAGCAAGGTCGGAGGGCGTTGGGAATTTTGCAGAAAATCGAGGGGGCGGGGAGCTCGAGCTTAAGACCCGAATCGGTTCGCGCTGATATCGGAAGCCTGACTCTCACCAGCTGCGCAGGTTTCAAGGCGCTGCCCGCCCGCCCCCCGTGCGGACGTGAAGATTAAATGTCGAGAACGCACGTTTTGATTTCGCGCGGTTCTCTGCGCCTCGAGACGGCGCGGGGCCGGGCTCCCTATTGCAATCTGCGGGCCCAGGGAGTTCGAGCTGAAAATCCAAATCAGTTCGCGACGCTGCCGGCCGTCATGGGCAACCTCTGTACGAACTGATTTGGATCTTAAGCTCGAGCTGCCCGGGCGCGCAAGTTCCTGACGGGAACCTGGCTCTCCTTGGATGCGTGGCTATTTGTTGCTCTGCGCCTCGGCATTTCAACGTTCACGTCCAGATCAGCTCGCGCTGATTTCGAACGCCAGGGGCGACGCCTCAACGAACTGATTCGGATCTGAAGCTCGACCTGCCTCAGGTCCAGGACGAGGCTCGGCGGCGCTTGATCCGACAGGCCACCGCTGCCAACCAGGCCATCGTGAAGGGGAACTGCCTCATGGTCATGCAGATGCTCACCCGACGCGAGGTGCTGCGGTCCCACTCCACCTGGCAGTTGATGATGAAGAACGCCATGTGGCTGGCCTTCGAGAGCCGACGAATTCGGCAGGGGTTCGACGAGCGCGAGCAGCTGCACGAGGCCACGGTGCTCCTCGACGCCGCGGAAGTGGACAGCCAGGCCACTGACCCGGACGATTGTGACAGCGAGCCCGAGGAGCGCGACGAGAGCGCCGACGGCGACGCCGCCGACGAGGCTTCAGACATCCCAGAGGCACCGCGCAATCATGCGTCGCCGCTGGGCACACGCGGCGAGAGTCCGGCTGGGCCGCGGAGGCGCCCCGCAGCGATTGCACCCGCAGGGTCAGCTGCGCGCCCGGCGCCGCCGCCGGCCAGCGTCGCCGCCGAGCTCGGTTCTGCTGCCTCCACGCAGGTCGCGGCCGCGGGCGGCGCGCCCACAGACGATCTCTTCGCGGCGCGCGGGGAGCGCGGCCCTTTCTTGGCCGAGGAGGCCACGGACGAGCCGCAGCAGAGAAACGCGGGGGTCCGCCTGAAGAGCAACAGCTACTACGACGACTACTTGCACCGCGGCTCCGCCGAGTTCGGCGCGTCGGGTCGAGCGGCGAAGACTCCCCTGGCCTCCATGTCGTATTACGACTACGGCATGTGGGTGCGCGTCGTGCCCGGGGACCCGAACGCCCTGGCGCCAGACGAGTACGCTTTCGCCGGCCACTACGGGAAGCATGCCGACTACGTCCAGCAGCTGCGGGCCGCGCCGGCCGCGCCGTACATCTCCGGCTTCACGATGCCGACCGAAGAGAAGGACCCGGAGACGAACGCCTGTTTCAAGCAGGTGTTGTTGAGGCCGCATGCGTGCCCGGGGCCGGACAGCTGTCGCCAGGTGCACTTCGCCCAGCACTTCTGCTGCGCGTCCCGCAGCAGGGAGGGGGGGCGAGCCAGGGGTCGCGCCCCTCTCTCCTTCCTGGGACCTTGGCGCGCGTATCGCGCCGAGCAGCTCGTCCTGGCGAAGCGGGCCGACCAGGCCCTGCAGCGCTCGCGGCAATGCCCCGTGCTGCACGACACAACCGCCATCCGTTACTGGCATCTCCCCGGCACCGTGCGCGGGGGCCCGGTCCACGAGAGTTTCCTGCCGTTGCTCTGCGGCGGCCGCCATGCGACGGATCCTGGTTTGGACGGCACGTGGTGCCGCCGCCGCGAGATCCCGACCCCCGTCGCAGGCGCCGATCTGCAGCGGCCGTCGCGCGGAGCGGTGTGCTGGCGCATGGCCCTCCCGGTGGACCTCGCCTGGGCCGTGCTGCGCTTCGCGGGCGACGTCCGCGGCGACGACGGGCGGCGCCTGGGGGTCGCCGGCTCGGAGGAGGAGCGCGCTCGGCTCGACGAGCGGGCGGCCCTCGAGGGCGAGTCGATCGCCTGCGCCTGTCCTGGAGTTCACGACGACCAGCTGACCCCCGAGATGTTCTTCGCTGTTCGGCACGTGGAGGTGGCCGCCCGCCTGGAGTACATGGCCGAGGCCCGCGGGCTGCCGAAGCCGGCAAGGGGGCCCAGCGACGCGGTGGCGGAGGAGGAGCTCGGCGGAGATCGCTCCGACGATGACGGGGCCTTCGGCCTGGACGAGGCTCTGCCAGGTGAAGATTCCTCCGCGGAGGAGCGCCAGGAAGTGGCAGACGCGCGAGAGGACAAGGAGGGCATGAGACCTCGCTGGAGGCTGGCAGAGGACGAGTTCGACGACGTCGTGCACCGGACGGCGGCGGCCCAGGCGGCTAAGAGCAGTCGCGTGGGAGCGCACAAGAAAGCCTTGATGGAAACGTTCTTGCAGTTGCAACGCCGCGCTTACGCCTGCGTTCGGCAGCCCTGCGCCGTGCCCGAGCGCGCCCCTCGGCTGGCGGCGATGACTCCTGCTGACGTGCAGACCGCCAAAAAGAACCAGGACGCGATCCGCGAACAGAGGGCCGCCCAGGACGACAATCTGGAGGCCGCGGGCGCGGATCTGCCCGTCGCCGCGGCGGCCTTCTCCGACGCGCCCGCGCCGTCGAGGCGCCTCGGCCCGGAGGATGTGCCGATCTCCCCGCTGCAGGCGGCGCTGACCCTCATCGCCGAGTCTGGGGTCTGGAAGAGCAAGGAGCAGTACCTGGTGACGCTCTTCCTCCTTCAACCGATACAACAACTGTGGCAGAAGGCCCTCGAGACGGACGGCTTGGACAGCTTGTCCACGGCCGCGGGCCTCGCAGCGGCCTCGAGAGACGTGCAGGTCCGCCGCGTCTTCCTGCACGGCCCGGGGGGCTCGGGGAAGACGTATTGCATGACCGAGGTGGTCAACAAGGTGGTCGTGCGTTTCTTCGGGCACAGGGGGCTGAAGCTCGTGGCCGCGGCCAACAGCGCCGCCCGCATCCTCGGCGGCAAGACCATGCACGCGGCGGCGAAGCTGACGCGGAAGCAGTCTCTCGCGGCGAGTAAATTGAAACCCAACACCAGGGCGAAGAAGAAGTTGGAGGCCGAGTGGGAGTACCTTGTGCTCCTCCTCGCCGACGAGATCGGCCTGGCGTCCCCCCCGCTCCTTGCGGGCCTGAGTCGCCGCGCGACTTTCGGCCGCAAGGACTTGCTGCGGCTGTGCGTGGCGAGGGCCATCGAAGAGCCCTTCGGCCAGGTCCCCGTGCAGGCCATCATGGGCGACTTCATGCAGATCAACCCGGTCTGCAGCCACACGCTGCTGGAAGCCCTGCTGGCCCGCGCGCGCGTCCCCGGCGTGCCGCGGAAGATCACGGACGAGGACGAAGACGGCTGGAAGGTCTTCAGGAAGATGGCCTCCGACGTGGTCGTCTTCACTGGCACGCACCGCTTTCTCGACGAGGACCTACCGCTGCTTTTCGAGGTCATGCGCACTCCGGGCGGGGCGAGAGTGCCTGACGACTTGCGCGCGAAGATCAGAGATCGCGTCCAGCGGGGCCCCGACGACCCGAGGATGTCCATGGACTACGAACTGGAGGGCGTTCGGGGCTTCTTCGCCTTCGGCGCTCGCGCGGCGATCCAGTGGGAGCAGGTCGCGCGCCTGCAGCAGCTCCACGTGCTCGCCTCCGCGAGGGTCTGCCCTGGCCCCAGGGCCTTGCTCAACGGGGAGGACGGCCGGCCGGATCTTCGTCGCCACGGCTTCAGCGCGGCGCATTCGGGGGCGCGCGGGCAGCTCGTCTATTATTTCCAGGCCGTGGACCGCTTCAAGCACCACCAGGACCGAGACATGTACCTCGAGGCGCTGAAGTTCATGAACCTCTCCAAGAGCAACGGCCTGCCGGGCATGTGCGCGGCCTACTTGGGCATGCGAGGGCGGCTCACGAAGAAGGTCATGGGGCCGGAGCTGGTGCAGGAGGCCACGGGCGAGGTCGTGGGCATCCGCTTTCACCCGCGGGAGCGATTCGGCTTCGGGGAGAATCTCGGCGGCGGTTCTGAACGGCCCTCGCCGAATCACCCTTGCTGGCAGCGAGGATTCGTTGTTTGCGATTATCTCCCCGTGCATCTCGAGATTCGCTGGGACGGAAGCACGGTGGGCCCCTTGGCGAGCTCTGCAAACGACCGCGCCGAACTTCAGGGGGGCCGCGACTGCGGGGGGCGAGGGAAGGGGGCTGGGCCCTCTCGCGGGACCGAGGCCCTTCTTTGGAATCCAGAACTGAATCGGATCTTGAGCTCGGGCTGCTCGCGTGTTCAGGCAGCGCGAGCTTGCGATCCATATCAGTTCGCGTCGGCAGTGCGACGCGACGCGGGCGTTTGCAGATCTCGACCAGGTGGACTACACTGGCCTGGGCAAGCGGGGCGTGTTCCATCTGGAGCCTGTGCAGGACGAGTGGGAGTTGCCCGTCGCGCGCGCGCAGACGGTGAATCACCCGGGCGCGCCTCGGGCCAAGCAGTTCGTCGTCAAGAGCAAGCAGAAGAAGGGGCTGCAGGTCGCGCGCACGCAGCTCAGTTGGGCGCCCGAGGACCAGCTCACTTTCCAGAGCATCCAGGGCCGCACTATCCGCGGGCCCGAGGGCCAGCCCAAAGGTTTCGTCGTCGACCTCTTTCGGCCTGGCACGATGCAGGGCGAGGATCGCCGGGGGGAGTACTTCCAGCACGTCTGGATGATCCTTGGAAGAGCCAGGAAGCTGGAGTGGATGCTGCTGCAGAACTTCCCGCTCGACGAGAGCACCGGCGATCTGGACTGGTCGATCCTCGAGCAAGGGCCGCCGGACTACCTCGTCGAGTTCTTGGGCGCGGCTGCGACGCTCAGCAGGAGGACTTCGCGCAGGATGCTGCGCGCGCAGAAGGAGCTGGGGGCGCCGGCCTGGGAGGACGTGCCGGAGTGCCCGCTGGACCCCGACCGCCAGGGCAGATTCTTGTATATTGCCGAGGACTGGATCAGGGCGGGCGCCGCCTGCGCCCGGCCCGTCGCAAGCGCCTCGGCCGAGGCGAAGCCCGACGCGGCCCCGCGGAGGAGACTCTGGGGCAAGAGGCCGCGCGAGGAACTGCGCTCGAAGACGGTCCGGCCGACCGCGCCGCCCGACGAGCCCGGGGGCGCTCCGCTGCGGCGGAAGCGGTCGCGCGGCGAGGGCGCCGGGGACGAGGGCGAGCGGGCCTGCGCGCCTCCTGGCGCGGCGCCAGCCTCTTCGACCCTGCCGTCGGCGCCCTCGGCCAGCGCCGGCGGCTGGCACTGTTCCTTGCTCGGCCGCGCCATCGGCCGACGAAGGAGCGCGCCCGCGTGGTTCAACAATCCTCTCATGGGCGAGGTCGACCCCGCGTCCGGCACCCAGCTGGGCCTCACGTGCGGTTTCTTCGCGGTGAACCATTGCCTGGGCCACGCGGGCATGCCGCAGCTGTCGGCCGAGGAGTTCCGGCAGAGCGCGGGAGACGGACTCTATCCCGAAGGGGATTTCGACGACGGGGGGTTGCGTCAGAACCTCGCAGAGCGCGGGTGCCATTTCGATTTGTTGCAGGGCGCGGACCACCAGGACGCCATCCTCGCCGTGGGGGACTCCGACAGCTGTCTGGCTGTCTTCAACGGCAACCACGCCTTGGGTGTCATTCTGCACCAGCCATGCCCTCGACATTGGATCGCGCTCGTTCGACCTCCAGAGGCCGTTCGAGACGGCGACGCCGCCTGGCTTTGCGACTCCTTGCACTCGGCGGTCTTCGCCCTTGAAGCCAGCGAGGTGCAGGACCTCCTCGGCCACGTTGGCTCGGCGCAGATGGGCGCCGCGGACAGGGCCGGGAGCGAGCTCGACCGGATGAGGGAGATCTCCGACTGGTGTGCCTACAGAGTCCACCGCTGACCGCGGCATTGCGCCCCCGGGGTCGGCCGGTTTTCTCGTTCCGCCTCGTTTTTTCCGCTGAGCATTGCACCCTCAGGGTCAGCCCTTGTCTTCCTTCTACCGCGCCAGGCGTTGCGCTTTTAGGGTCGGCTCTGTGCTGCGCGGCATTTCACCGCCAGGGTCAGGCCTCGTCTGTCCCTGCTCTGCTTGGCGGGAGCTGGAGTGCACTGGGAGCCGGATGCGCCCCGGGCCGCGCTTCTCGCTCTCATCCTGCTCGGCATTGCACCCCCAGGGTCAGCCGATTTTTCCGTTCGCATCTCCTCCTCTCCGCGCGGCGCAGGCTTGGGCATTGCACCCTCAGGGTCAGCCCTCGCCCCCGCGTCTTTCGCCCGGCTCTGCCGCTCCTGCTTTCGCCGCGCAGATCTGGGAGGCTGGCCCGACAGCGCGGCGGGAAATGCAATCTTCCCCCCTTGATCTCTCGAACCCCGTCTTCGTCGTCGCCCGCGCGAAGGATCGCAGATTATCCACCCCATTCGAGGGTTCCAGGCGGGGATAAGGAGGGTTGTCTCACGGTGCCCTCCTCCGAGAGGAAGAGGAGGAAGAGGAGTGGGAGGAGGAAGAGGAGGAGGAGGAAGAGGAGAAGAAGGAGAACGATGTGGAGGAGGAGGAGGAGGAGGGGGATGATGATGATGCTGATGATGATGATGATGATGATGATGAGAATGATGATGATGATGATGATGATGATGATGATGATGCTGCTGCTTGGCGGGAGCTGGAGTGCACTGGGAGCCGGATGCGCCCCGGGCCGCGCTTCTCGCTCTCATCCTGCTCGGCATTGCACCCCCAGGGTCAGCCGATTTTTCCGTTCGCATCTCCTCCTCTCCGCGCGGCGCAGGCTTGGGCATTGCACCCTCAGGGTCAGCCCTCGCCCCCGCGTCTTTCGCCCGGCTCTGCCGCTCCTGCTTTCGCCGCGCAGATCTGGGAGGCTGGCCCGACAGCGCGGCGGGAAATGCAATCTTCCCCCTTGATCTCTCGAACCCCGTCTTCGTCGTCGCCCGCGCGAAGGATCGCAGATTATCCACCCCATTCGAGGGTTCCAGGCGGGGATAAGGAGGGTTGTCTCACGGTGCCCTCCTCCGAGAGGAAGAGGAGGAAGAGGAGTGGGAGGAGGAAGAGGAGGAGGAGGAAGAGGAGAAGAAGGATAACGATGTGGAGGAGGAGGAGGAGGAGGGGGATGATGATGATGCTGATGATGATGATGATGATGATGAGAATGATGATGATGATGATGATGATGATGATGATGATGATGATGCTCTGCTTGGCGGGAGCTGGAGTGCACTGGGAGCCGGATGCGCCCCGGGCCGCGCTTCTCGCTCTCATCCTGCTCGGCATTGCACCCCCAGGGTCAGCCGATTTTTCCGTTCGCATCTCCTCCTCTCCGCGCGGCGCAGGCTTGGGCATTGCACCCTCAGGGTCAGCCCTCGCCCCCGCGTCTTTCGCCCGGCTCTGCCGCTCCTGCTTTCGCCGCGCAGATCTGGGAGGCTGGCCCGACAGCGCGGCGGGACCTGCAATCTTCCCCCCTTGATCTCTCGAACCCCGTCTTCGTCGTCGCCCGCGCGAAGGATCGCAGATTATCCATTCCATTCGAGGGTTCCAGGCGGGGATAAGGAGGGTTGTCTCACGGTGCCCTCCTCCGAGAGGAAGAGGAGGAAGAGGAGTGGGAGGAGGAAGAGGAGGAGGAGGAAGAGGAGAAGAAGGAGAACGATGTGGAGGAGGAGGAGGAGGAGGGGGATGATGATGATGCTGATGATGATGATGATGATGATGAGAATGATGATGATGATGATGATGATGATGATGATGATGATGATGATGATGATGATGATGATGATGATGATGATGAGGAGGACGAGGAGGAGGAGGAGGAGGCAAAGAAGAGGAGGAGGAGGAGAGAACAATGAGAACGAGGAGGAAGCCGGGGGGCCCGCAGCAGCCCAAGAAAACCCCCAAGAGGACGCCGAGTTTTCAAAAGCGGCTGGCATTCATCTCAAGGATTCCTTGCGTTTCATGCGACATAACGAGATGCGCGAAAACTCTCCAAAAGTAGCTTTTTCCTGATAATCTACTTTTTCGTGTCGGAGGGCTTCTGCTCTGGATATGGATTTCCCCATGTATTTTGCACGATTGTGATTGTACGCATTGAAAACTGGAGCGGCCGGTTGTTTGGTTGGCTCCAGCATCGGGGATAGACATACACGGCGACAGCTCCTTAGGAATGCCACCCCAAGGCGGCCCCCAAGAGGTCCTTCCCGGGTGCTGGGGCGTATTGCAATCGTCGCTTGCTTTAATATTGTATTGAACATGTCGTGACCATTTTGGCTCTTGGCCCCTGCGCCGGCATTGCATCCTCCGGGTCAGCCGTACTCCCGTTCGCCTCTCCTCCTCTCCGCTGGGCAGTGCACCCCCAGGGTCAGCCCCCGCCCCCTGGCGTTTCCTTCTCCGGCATTGCACCCTCAGGGTCAGCCGGTCTCACCGTTATCCTTTCCTGCTCGCCGCCGGGCATTGCACCCTCCGCGTGCTGATGGCCTTGCAGAAGTCCATTGCCGCGTTCCCGCTCAACAGGCCAGCCCCGGGGTACACCGCTCGACTGAAGTGCGTGTTCTTCGAGGCGAAGCAAGTGCAGCATTTCGCGAAGGGCGTGGGGCGTTTCCTTGACCACACTGGTGCACCCATTTGGTTCGAGCTCACTGGCCAGTCTACCCAGGACGTGTTGATGAAGGCGCGCCTGTACCTCCCGGGCAAGGCGGGGACATTCAGCAACGTGACGGTGAAGAGCAGCTCGTACTACAGCGGCGGCCGCGTGATCAACCTGAACCCGAAGTCCAACATGCGCTGCGTTGCCCTGGCGGGCGCCGACGCCTCCCAGCTACCTTCGGGGCCCGTGGCTCCTCGCGGGGGCCTGCGCGACGTGGGGATGTGCAACGACGGGGATCGAGTAGACGTCGTGGGCCGCGTGGTGGAGCAGAGGGCAGTGGCGTCGATCAAAAAGGTCGAGGTCTGGCTGAAGGACGAGGAGAGCGGCAAGTCCATTCTCGTGGAGCTGTGGGGCGACACGTTCTACGACATGGTGAAGGAGGCCCACGGCCTGGGAGACGTTGAGGAAGAGGCAGACCCCGTCGTGTTGCAGGTGGAGAACGCGCGCGTCGTGAGGAAGGAGTCCGGCCAGGTCCACCTGACTGCCGAGTTCTTCAAGGATTCCCAGAACGCATGTGCTTGGGCGCATTTGCAGCCGCGCCACCAGAAGGCCGAGGAGCTGAGAGCCCTGAGCGCCACGGTGGGCGAACGCATGTCTGCGGTGTGGGCCCCGAGCGGCGCGGTGGTGCGCATGCAGAGCGCGAAGCAGGGTTTGTACAAGACTTGCCTGCGCACATTGAAGACCTGCTCCCTCTCGTGGACGGAAAGTGCCGACGCAGCAAGCCCGCCGAACGCCGTGATGGAGGCATCCACCCAGTCGCCCGTCTCCGGGGGCCGGCCACTGCCCGCCGAGGTGCAGGTAGAGGTGCACGGCGCGTGGCTCACGGGCGTCTCCAACCCCGACCCCGTGTACACGAAGTGCAAGCACTGCCGCACCAAGATCAACCCGGAGGGCAACTGCAAGCATTTCATGAAGCACCGGCCAGAGCCAGACACAAACAAATCCGCTTTGAGCTCTGTGACCCTGGGGGATTTCACGGGCGGCATGGACGACATCTTGGCGGACGAGAACAGCCTGGTCGCGCTCGCCGGCGTCGCGAACCTCGACGAGTTGCAGCAGTTGATAGAGCAGCGCACTGTCGCAGGCATGTGCTTCCAGGTCCGATGCGACGTCGTCCTCGGCGCCAACCGTGAGAAGGTGGCCAGGCTATCGCAGGCCAAGCAGAGCCGGTCGGACGACGCTCGCGCGGAGTGCAACTTCGCCATATTGAAGGTGACGCCAGCGCTGATGGTGCCCTGGGGCGCCCCCCGGCGGCCCGCCCTCAAGCAAGTGTTGTCGCTCGTCGCAGACCACGGAGCGGGCGCCGTCCTTCCGGTCTCCAACCTCGCGACGGACCTGACGGACACGTTGTCCACCGCCAAGTGCAAGCAGACCGGCTGCGTCGCCGAGTACGTCATGGTCCTGGCGCGCGCCCGGGGTGAGCCGACGCGCGCGGACCTCGGCGACATGGAAGAGATCACGCACGAGGAGGTCGTGTCCACTGTCGCGGACGGCGCCGACGACCCCGCCCCGTTCCGCCTGGAGATGCTGGTGCCCAAGAGTCGGGCGGGCGCGTCGCTCATGGACGAGGAAGACGTGGACTACCTCGTCGTCGGCCGCCCGCAGGGATCCAACCTCGCGTGGACGCTCGTGGCCGAGAACATTTTCTCGTGCAAGGACATGCCGGACGTTCGCAGCACTTTCAAGGAGGAGCTCCAGGGCTGTCGCGAACTGTTGGTGTCCAAGAAGACGTCGCTCGCGGGAAAGCGGTCGGCCAAGGAGTTGATCACTGAGACGCCTACGAAAGTCCGGTGCGTCCAGGAGACCAAGTAGGAGTCTGGCGATTCGTAGGCTCGGTCGACCCTAGTGCAAAGGGGGCCAATCACGCGCGCCACGACGCCGTCTACCTGCTGGGCGCGCGCCGTGGCTGCCGCCCGCGGGGGCGCTTCGCCGTCAGGGCCAGCCCTCGTATTTTTCCGTCGGCACCGCGCCCCCTTCGCTGCTGGGCATCGCGCCCTCAGGGTCGGCCCCCGTCCTCGCTTTTTGCCTTGCCCGGCATTGCACCCTCCGGGTCAGCCGGCCATTCCTTCGCCTCTCCGCTCCTTTCGCTGGGCATTGCACCCTCAGGGTCAGCCCCCCGTCGTCGTTCTTTCCCTGCCCGATATTGCACCCTCAGGCTCAGCCGGCCTTTCATTTGCCTCTCCTTCTTTCGCCGGGCATTGCACCCGCAGGGTCAGCCCGGTCTTCCTCCATTCGGGGCATTGCGCCCGCGGGGTCCGCC